TGCTTTATTCAATCAAATAAACAGATAAAATAAATTGGACAAGAATATATGCATAATATAGACTAAATACATTTGCATAATGTATCACAGTTTGCAAATATTAATCATACATTTTCTGAGATGACACCTGAATAGAATAAACTAGCAGCTAAACCTGGTGTTGCCTGGGTCAAAATACATTTTTCTATCTTATATATGTGCCCAAATCTTGGTACCATTAAGTGTATGTTGTAGTGTATACATTGTTAACTGATTAATTCAGTTACTAAATCAGTTTATTATAAATCAAATTTGAAGATAATAAAAATTTAAAAGTAGGTATTGAAAATATTAGTATAAAAAACTTTGATACATTTATATAAAATCTAATACATGAAAGTTTATACCACATATTATATTTCAATACACACATACAATTGAGTTTTGTCTTTTAGTCAAATCTATAGGTGAATTGTTGACATTACAAGTTGAGTAGATTACAGTAGATCTATTGAATCAGTTTTGGGAAGGTAGCTTTTTCCCAAAACAAACTTGCTTTCTGCAGCAAATCCTTACAAAAAGAAATGTCAAGTTCAACTTCCACAATTGATACATCTTTATTCACTTCAAAATTTGGTGATGCAACACAAAATAATCCCTTCTTTCTGCCCAACAATAGCATTTGCAGTTGAATTTGGGCAAAAGGTTTCTTACCTATGACTCCATCATGTAAGTATTGCTTAAGTGTCGATTCTTTTGATGGGCACTTTATTTCAATACAAAACTCAACATTTACAGCATCAGGGTTAGCTCCAAATATAGGATATCTCTTATCTACAAATCTTCCTACTTTTTCTACTTTTATTAGTTTCTTTCATGCCAACCTTCAATACTTCATCCTCTAATGATAATCCCCTCTTCATAGCCTTTGTGGACTTGAATTTTGCAGCACCCAAAATAGACTCTGACTCTACTAAACATCCATCATATGTTGTACTCTGTGCTGCTTCATAAAACTTCGATGCAGTAATACCTGCATACCTTATCTCAAACCATGTACCAGTATTGGATTGATCTTTCGTTTGATTTAAAATTTCTTTACAAGGCTGATCATTCATTTCTTGCTGACAATACTGAATAAAATTTCCAGCAGTGATGCTGCTACTGTTTCTTACAAATTTATTTATTAAATGATATAGGGATACTTTATCAATAGCATTCTCTTCAGTTTTGTGGTATTGAAATAAAATGCTGTTGCTTTTGTTTTCTAATCCTTTTTCTAGTAGTTTTTTTAAGAAAGAATTATTGTGTGATGCAACTGGGGTAATATTCTTAAATAGCTCGTTCAATTTTGCTGCTTTCAATGAAGAACCTACTTTTGCTAAAATCTGTTTTCGCCAGTAGCACTCAACACTTGTTACAGAAGGTTCTGTAGAACGCCGTAGTAGCTACACCATGCTTGCACCCTCCTAGAAATTAAAATATAGTATATTATAAAGACACGAGGAATTATTAAACTCAATACCTTCACCAGCTGGGTAGTTATGACACACACTATGTGTAATCTTCTCTTCAGCCTCATTAATGCAAATTGTCACCTGTTATCCTTTTTCGTGGATCTTGTATTCTGGAGTTACATGGCACTTTACAGTACATATTGATCCCTCTCGCATCAGCTGGACAAATCAGATAGCTTGATCCACTTCTAAGAACAATATGGTTATTAAAATATGTTTCCTAACAATCGAAAAAGTACACACCTTTGTGTTTTCACATTTCTCACATTTGCTTTGACAAAGTCTGCATTGTGTCGATAGTATTCATCGATCATCTCGTAAGCTACTTTCGGTAAATTCGAAGAATCTGCTTTCACGAAGTTTTGTTTCATATTTTAATTGTGTATTTAAAAAGCTAAATTCCAAATCAGTCACTAGCACAAGATAAATCATAATATAGTGGATACCAAATAAAACCCGATGCACGTCATCGATCTGGAGCTGTGCGCTGTTGCCAGAATTTGCACATTTTCTTTTAAGCAAATAAATTTAATAAAATAAATTGTTTATACATATATACCTACCATTTACTAGAATACCATTATATTAAAAATAAATAAACTTGTTGTAAAATTAAATTCCTTTCTGAATAAAAACACCTGATTTTGGTAGATACTCAATAGTATGAGCTCTTTACACCGACTGTTAAGTTGTTTTGGCATTTTGGATACTTTACACCACTTCACAGTAACTGTTGTTCTGAAAAGAACAATTTTTAATTGGCAAGGCAACGATTCAAAGCTCAAATAGCGCAAAACTCACAAACTAAACAATAAAGAACTAATAGTCCGACAAAAGGACAATGGCAACTGATGTCAACAAATGAGAAGTGGCAACCTCACATTTCTCTGCACGGCACTACCAACCGAATCGAGACGGGGAAATTTAAACTTCAAGTAGAAATGTCACATTGAATGTAGTCAACTGTTGGTAACCATGATTTTTATGAATGACATCACCTATGACGTGCATCGGATTTTATTTGGTATCCACTATACCAAATCGTCAACAACATAGCCAGAATGCATCATAACCTTTAAATTATCTGTCAAAAAAGTCTGTAGGACAAAATGGGAATATCTCCTGTCCTTGTCACACTGTAATCGCCGAACAATGTAGAGTCACATTCTAAGAAGGGGGCGGAGAAAATATTACTACGTCACGCGAGATATTATTACGTCACACAGTTGGCGGCAAACTTTATTTTTAAACTTTGAAGCCGAGTTTTTATTACTTCTTGTTCAAAGAAAAATGTAAAATTACTCAATATATAGTTTTTAGATGTAAAACAACAATTTGGAACCAAAAATTTTTTTTTTGAAAATACCCCATTAACTTTGCATAAACACTAGCTGAATTTTTTGGCGTGGTCGATGACTGCCGCACAGTAAGGGTATGCCATTGCATCTTTTAACGCCACTATTTGTGCGTAACAAGGTGGTGCAAGCGCCACCTCTGGTGCAAGAGAACAAAGAACTGAAAAACACCTGATTGCAAGGGGACGCTTCCACTTGCACTATATTTCACATATAGTCAAATATACTGAAGGGATGAAATCAAACAATAATAATGATAAAATTGACAGTTGCGAGATGCATGCAGCTATAGGTTTTAAACTTTTAATCTTAATCAAGAAGTTATATGAACTATTATTTAGAATTCATTATTCACTAATAATACCTTTAGAGCAAAAACAAAAATCCACTCTCCAATAAGTTGCTTTTTTGGAATCAGGATCATCCATGGCTCGCGGTCGGTGGGAGGTAGGGTGGGGTAATTACAACTACCCCCCTTGCCTGCGCGCTTGGCTAAAACTCTCTATTACTGTGACTCATGTGGCCCAGTAAAATCGTTCAACAGTCATCTTAATGGGAGTCACTATATTTTTCCGCAAATGTGCCCGTTAAGAATCACAGTTGTAAAGAATTGTTTCTGTTTTTTGCGTATAAACGCCTTTTCCATTTCTTTCACAACAAAAATTCTCGTCAATGAACTGTAATTCTTAATAGCAGTCCCGGTTGTTCAGGCTTTGCTTTATTGTTTGTTCAAATGCAAAAAACAGAAACAAACGATACATTTTAGCTGTGATGCTTATAAGGCACACAGCGGACACATTTGGTTGTACGGACTCCTATGGCTCTTCCTTGAAGGATTTCAAAGGGCCTCATGGGTCACAGTGATGAGGAGTTTCAACTTTAGTCAGTATCAACCAGTCTATGCACTTGAATTAAAGCTACTTCAGAAGGTAGGGTGGAGGATATTTCATTACCATTTGCTTAGACTATGTTTGTAGTATAACTGAAGTGCAATTTTCGATATGATGCATTTAATTTTTTTTATACTCCAACCACCACGAAGGCCTAAGGCCTAAACACCCATGGGGTATCGTGGGGCTATAGGCAGATACAGGGGAAAGGGAGAACGCCACACGGACTCTGGCGAGGGAACACGTGTGCATGCATCATGCACACATTCTGACCCCGCCTACGAGATCCGCCGGGCGGTACCTCTGCGTTCGACAGTCAGAAACCGTCTACCACCTACGGACAATCACAACATCCATAGCCAAGAGAAAAATTTCTCTTGGGACGGGATTCGAACCCGCACAGGATACATAGAATGTTCGCCATTTGAGTAGTTTTGACAAAAGTTCATCGATGAATCCGGGTATACTTCTTGATGAAATTTGTTTTAATTTTAACACGCTGACCCACTCAGTCAAAGCTCTAAGAGCCGTATGGTCAGCCGTTCCTACAATTATCGTAGGTCGCCTTTATGGCCTCCTTGATTTTCAAAGTTTTCTACTGTTCCGTGTCAGCGCTCTATTTTTAGGTTATGTTACAAATATCCATTTGCATCAAATTGTTCATGCTTTTGATTCATCTGTTTTATAAGCCTGAAACTTCCTGCAATTCAAAAAAGAAAAATCCAAAAATCAAGGATGCCGTAAAGGCGTCCTACAATTGTAGTGTCATAGTCTTTTCTGTCATTCAGAAAGGTTGTGGTGTTTCTAGATTTCACCTAATTCGTATCAGCGTCAGCGCTCTCCTATTGTAAAATTATGTTTTCTTTTTGGATTGTAGGAGATTTCAGGCTGTTAACACAGATGATAATCAAAAGCGTGAACAATTTGATGCAAATAGATATTTGCGACATAACCTCTAAACGGAGGGCTACACGGAGAAGTCAACCATAAAGGCGTCCTGCAATTGCAGGAACGACTGACGATACCGCCCTTAGTCACTTACTACACGTTAGTTATCCTCCTTTTTCATTCTAGGTACGAGCTGAAATACGATGCACGAACGTCGTCTCTGGTCGAACCTCGGATACGCCCTCGTCGCTCTTCTGGTCTTCGCAATACTATGGCACCTGCTTTGCCCTTCACCGACGAACTTATCACCCCTAGGCGATGCATTCACCCTGTACACTCACAATTCTACAATATTTACTTATCCGCTTCAGTTGCTGCCTCCCAATGACTACAATAGTATCATTGATATCAGTTTCAACTTCACTATGATCAACTTTGTCTGCGATGAAACGTCGCCATTGTTGCTAATCTTAATTCATACTGCACCAACCAACTATGTTAAAAGAAAGACGGTGAGGGAAACTTGGGGTCAAGAGGTGGATGGTGTCAAGGTTTTGTTCATGGTAAGCTGGATCCTGTTTTTATAAACGAAAACGTACAGTGATTGAAAAATAAAAATTTTCAAGCATGTAGAATCCCATTTTCCGAGGATTTGTAATACGGCTAATCAAATTGAAAATTTCCCTGACAAGATGCTCCATTTGTGTTTTTCCAAAATAACTGCACTGAGAGGTACACTTTATAGACTTTAAAAGATAGCGGCTATAATTGAAGATTGCAAGCCAAAGGTTTTAGAAAGAAAACATTGAACTTTATGATGTTTCGTTCAGCATGGATACTGGTTAAATTTTAACTGGAGATTTTTGGGCGAGAACTCTAAATCTACTGTTTTATTTCAAGGTGTTTAAATAAATCAAACAATAATTCGACACGATAAAGATCTTGTTTTGGTTTTTTATTTTACACCGTGTAGGTATGGAGTAAAATATGTTCACAGTACGCTGTGAAAGCTTTATGCAGGGTGTATAAGAAAGACGTGCCAATATTTCTAGGGTAGAAAGCACATCCAAAGGTAACAAAAAAGTTCATATAAATATGGCTACAAAGATGCTCCCCTACTGAGTTACAGGGTGATAAAGTTTTAATTACGAAATTGAAATTAAATAATATCTACGGAGCGGGTAAAGATACTGAGTTAAGATTTTAGACGTTGAGTGAGCACATCATAAGCAATAAATACCAAACATTCAAACTGAATCAGGGATGTAGAAAGTGGGGTACCTAGTAGGATATATTTTCTACGCCACTGGCCTTGTCGCTGAAAAGAGCATTTTATAAAATACCATTCTATTGTCCAGAAATTTTGACTCTTAAGGAATTTTTGTCTGATCACTCGTTCTAAAGATATATATTTAGGTTTTAATTATTGACGTAAAATCCTAAAATATTCGTATGAAAAGGGCCTTCCCTAATCTGAAAACACAGTGAAGCGTTGGAAGCACTATATTGTATGTGAAGAAAGCTAGGTACCTCATTACAACGTTAATTCAACGATATGCGTGTCTTATCCTCAATCAGTAGCGTAGAAGCTTACCATTCATTAAACCTTCCCTTGCATGACTCTCATTTTGCAAGAATATTCATTTTTGTTTATAGATAAAGAAACTTCATCTCAAAGAAAAAGGATTATTTTGAAAATAAGCTAATAAGCTAATAAGAATTAAATACGACAACAATCAACAATAACATTTGGTACAACTTACGTGGTTATTTCTACATTTATGAGGAGATAACATTGTGAACAAAAAATAATGTTGAATAAATAACATCCAACCTAAAGGAGTGACCACCTCTGGATTCAACACAAGCCCGTGTTCTACGCCATAAAGACTTTCTGACTCTTTGGAAAATACCTGGCGTAACACGAACAGTGTTGGAAGCCTTCTGTATACTTCGTCCTCAGACTTTTCCGAGGTTGCTAATAATTTGTGGTATATTCCTTGTTGAGCTCTCTTAATCCGAAATGCCAAAGAATATTGAGAAAAAAGGCCGATAATTTCAGAAGTAAAATAAAAAGAATTTTACCTAATTTTATTATTGGTTCCACAATTACTTGTGCTGATTTTATACATCTAACAAGGGTAATACCAGAAAAAGTATAACAAGAAAACCAGTGGCGTGCATAGACAAGGTTTAATGTATGGTAAGCTTTCTTCACACGCCCTATAGAATTTCCAATATCAAGCTTCACGGTGTTTTCAGAATAGGGGAGCCTAAACCTATTCATAAGAATATTTTAGGATTCTACCTCAAATATTCAAACCTAAATATCTCCAAAACGAGTGATCTAACAAACATTTCTTTAGAGATAAAATTTATGGAAAATTGAATGTTATTTTATAAAATTCAACTCTTTGCCCTTTGCCAGAGGGTCCAGGTACGCCAGTTTCTACGTCCCTGGTTTAGTTTGCGCCGGGACATTCGGTGTGTTTACTGCTGATGATCTTCTCACGGAAAGCCTAAAATTCTAACTCAGTATCTTTACAGGCTTCGTAGATATATATATACTAAGTGACATATAAATCCGAACACCCAGTTTAAATGGTTTTATTTTAATAAAATTTTGTATAAGTACTTAATGAAGCATAATAAGTAAAAGATAAAAATTTCAAAATGATTGCACTGCTTTAAAGCCCTTTGACCTTTAATAATGTGTGGATGCACCCTGATGTGCTACGCATTCTCCAACACGCCTAGGCATGCTTCTGATCAGGTGGTCAATGTCCTCCTGTGGTATCTCATTCCAGGCAACCACCAACTCCTCTCGAAGTGCTTCTAGAGTCTGAGGAGAACGTTGCAAATTGAGCAATCTCCTACCCATCATATCCCACACATGCTCAATTGGGGATAAGTCGGGAGATCTTGGTGGCCATGGTAACAATGTGACATCATTATGTTGAAAGAAGTCTATTGTGACTCTTGCAACATGTGGTCGGGCATTATCTTGTTGGAAAGTTGGATCTGCCAGGGTGTCAAGATAGGGTAAAAGATGGGGTTCTAGAACTTCGTGGATATAATGCTGCGCGTTCATGTTACCTCTGATGAACATTAAAGGTGACCTGGAACCATAAGCTATAGCACCCCAAACCATAACTCCAACAGTGTGATGAACATGTCTTTCAACAAAAAACTGTAGATTCCTCCTTTCACCACGTCGCCTTCTAACTCTGGCACGACCATCGTGCATGCCTAAACAAAATCGAGACTCGTCACTAAAGACAATACTGTTCCATTCCTGATCCCAGAGTGACCGTTGTCTGCACCACTCAAGGCGATTACGTCGGTGTAAGGGTTAGAAGGCGACGTGGTTAAAAGAGGAATCCACAGTTTTTTGTTGAAAAACATGTTCATCACACTGTTGGAGTTATGGTTTGGGGTGCTATAGCTTATGGTTCCAGGTCACCTTTAATCTTCATCAGAGGTAACATGAACGCGCAGCGTTATATCCACGAAGTTCTAGAACCCCATCTTTTACCCTATCTTGACACCCTGGCAGATCCAACTTTCCAACAAGATAATGCCCGACCACATGTTGCAAGAGTCACAATAGACTTCTTTCAACATAATGATGTCACATTGTTACCATGGCCACCAAGATCTCCCGACTGATCCCCAATTGAGCACGTGTGGGATATGATGGGTAGGAGATTGCTCAATTTGCAACGTCCTCCTCAGACTCTAGAAGCACTTCGAGAGGAGTTGGCGGTTGCCTGGAATGAGATACCACAGGAGGACATTGACCACCTGATCAGAAGCATGTCTAGGCGCGTTGGAGAATGCGTAGCACATCAGGGTGCATCCACACATTATTAAAGGTAAAAGGGCTTTAAAGCAGTGCAATCATTTTGAAATTTTTATCATTTACTTATTATGCTTCATTGAGTACTTATACAAAATTTTATTAAAATAAAACCATTTAAACTGGGTGTTCGGATTTATATGTCACGTAGTATATATATATATATATATATATATATGTTATTTTAAATTTCCTAAATAATCAAACTTCATCACCCTGTGATGCTCTCGGTCAAAACAAATTTTGACTGATTTCAGCGGTCAAAAGTGCTCTTGACCGACGTTCTTGGTCAAAATTGTTTTGCCTGACTTGGGGCTCAGACTATCGATCAAAACTCATAATGAGTTATTAATAGTTACTGAAAATTACCAGAACAATCATCAAACACTTAATCCAACTATTTTTAAGGTGTAGAGCTCAAGCGTTTTATCCATATAAACATCGTACGAGACCTGTAAACTATAATTTATAATTATTTTTAGTAGTTCGAAACCATTTTATATTCCAGTCTGTGAATGATAGATCTGTTCGCATTTGTGGGTTTGGACAAGCTTTTATTTAACTTGACACAATAGGCAGCGTAGTTCAGATCTTGTTACAGTTTTTTTGAATCAGTTATCGCTAACTGAATGAGCTGGTTTTTGTATACATCTTCGTTTCTCGTGATGATACATAATAAATTATCTATCGCCATTTTGAATCCAATATGGCGGGTGGTACAAAATAGTGATTTATCAGTGCTATAGTGACACCTATAATATGGATATTAAATTAAAGGGCTTGATAAGACAATCATAATAAGCATTGCAACGTCATTCTGAATCAAATATGGTAGCCGCCGAAAAATGGCGCTTTATAACTTCCATAGTGAACCGTATGATATGCGTGTCAAATGAAAGGGCTTGAGGAGAGAAACGCAATAAGCAGCGTGACGTCATGCTAAATCCAGTATGATGTCCGCCGCAAAATAACGATCTATAATTTCCATAGCCAACCATATGATATGGTACCAGATAAAAGGGCTTGGCGTGAGGAACACAATAATAAGCAAAGTTAAATCCAATATGGCAACCGAAGAATGGCGCTTATGATTTCCATAGGTATCAAATGAAAGAGATTGGTGAGAGAAACAGAATAATCAATGTGACGTCATTTTTAATCAAGGGTGTACCCATGGGGGCAAGGGGGGGGGGTGGTAGCTGCTCACCCTTTATCCTAGTTCGACAAAAATTGAATGAAAAGAGCATTTTTTCCAAAAATTATATTATTTATCTACAGGGTTCTCCACAAGCTGGATTATTTGAAATCTATGTAGATATAAGCTTAATTTTGCTGAAAGCACTATACAGGGTGTCCCAAAAAAAGTATGCAATATTCTACCAGCGGTTTCTGGAGCTTTAAATAGGAAGAAAAGTTTATGTAAACATAGGCCGACAAACGTCCCCTAATGGCGCTATCGTCTTTTAAAGGGGCTCCCCTGAAGATGGTTTTCCTTAATATTTCCGAAACGTGTTGAGATAAAGACATAAAATTTGGTATTCTAGCCTATTTTTTATGCTGGATTTAAAAATATTAACAATTTTAGACAGTTTTGTTTGAAAGCGTATGTAACAGGGACGGACTCAGGTCATTTTAGCCCCAAAATTTTTGTGTGATTCTATTTTTGAAATTCAATTTTAGAATTTGAAATTCTAGGGTTTGCTACATGAAAAAGGTACTCTTATTGAA